CATAGGGCACTAAAGATTTAGTTGCTGTTTCGTCGATGAGTTGGCAACTAAACAATCACCAGTGCACTAAATTTTGTATTTGAAGTCCAAATTTAAAAATTATCAGTAATAAAAAACAAATTTGCAACATTTATAAATAAATACAGTAGAGCATCGATTATCCGAATCAATTGGGGACTGGGGTTGTTCGGAAGATCGATGTTTCAGATAACCGATTATGTACGAAAAAATATATTAATTTATCCCATCTTGACATTTTTCTCCATTGCGTGTCGCTTCGCGTTGGATTTTCATCGATGTTAAGCCTAACGAAGATTATTGTATTGTTAAAAATTATTTATTTTGTACGAACAAAATAAATATATTGAAAAATATAAAAACAATAAAAAATTATACTTCAGAAATTAATTTAGTATCAAAACGTAAAATATTTGAGTAGCCCAAGACATAGCCAAAGATTGCAGCACCACAGCATTGGCGAAATTTAAATTTGCCAACTGGAATTCTTTTGGATGATTGACTTTCGGATAATCGACACTCTACTGTATTGAACAATTTTTGAATAGTTTATGTACACGTGCATACGTACAGACATACAAAATAATATATCTGAGCTGAAAATTCTTACAACACAACACTGTTTTCAGTCATGAGGGAAATAGAAATAGTGATTTGGGAATCAATGAATCATCATAGAATTTTTGTACAAGTGAGTGAGCAAAACATGAGAGTGCAGAAAAACAATTTTTTGATGACTGACTATACTGTATTTCTAACTAGAAAAACCCCGTCACGCGTTGTTATGGCTCAAAATGTATCTATTATAAATTTATAACACTTCCCCCGTGGGGGGGAATTTTTTGAAAAATTTCTACTTAGTGTACATTCTCTTGACGTATCCTATTAAAACGCAAAAACCCGCATCTAAAATAGTATAATAGAAGCCAAGTTCTTCACGGTAAGCCTTAATCCTGTCTCTCTCCCCCGTGGGGGGAATATCGAAAAATTTCTTCTTAGTGTACATTCTGTTGACATACCCTATTAAAACGCAATCAAAAATGCAAAAACCTGCATCTAAAATGATATAAATAGAAGCAAGAGTTTTTTACCGTAAGCCTTAATCCTAACCATCTCTTTTTAATGGGGTTGAATTTCAACATGTATATTATATAAAAACACGTGCGTATTCGAATGCAGCATTGTGTCAAAATTTCAAAGGAATCGGTAGGAACAAACGAACATTACATTTTTATTTATATAAATAGATAGAATATGATCTGCTTTAGTTCATTTTCACAGAAAAGCATAATGCCTCACAGAAAAGCAAACTTAGGGCATCATACTTGTAGTGCCATCTGTTGGACATAAAAGCCTTAACCTAGATTATATCTTTTAATTTATATGAATGTTTAACGGAATAATATACAGCCTATGTCCACCCTGAAGTTCCATTCTAAATATTGGTGAAAGAATTTTTGAAATTGGATGAGAGGTTTCGATTACCTTCTATGTCCAAACTTACTTACATACATACTTACAAACATTTCCTCTTTATAATATATTTCTAATTCTAATAACATTTGAATATATAATTTTATTAAACATTCAAATGTTATTAGATTGTTATGATCTAAATGTTAAATTGTTAAAAAAATACATAACTACCTTTTTAAGTGTTTTAATATTATATATATATAAATTGTATGAATAAAAAAAATGAGTAAAACTTAATAGATTAATGATAATGGAGTTGTAAATTTAAAAATAAAAGTTACTTTATTGCTGACATGATAAAATTATTTAATTGAATATTTTTATCTTTAATATCTATTCAATTTCATAATATAAAGAAATTACATTGAAAATTACAACACAATCAAATTATGGTACAATAATTAAAGTGGAATTTATCATTATATTGATGATGATATAGTTTTCTACACAATTTGTATTATCTTAACAAAACTTCTCCCAATTGAACAGTATCCTCTATTGCCATAAACCTTTGTTTAGCAATACTTTTCTTTTTACTGCTTGTAAAATATAGTATTTTTTTTCTCTATAACAATAATGCAGTAAATTAAGTTTTTATTTTGATCAGTAGGCCTGAGTACAGATGAGAGCAGAGTTGCCAGATTTAGCATGTTTTTTTTAATATTTTAGTGCTTAAGTTCATTTAACATAAAATTCTCTTAGAAAGTGTACAGAGATATCTTAGTGTTGCAATTTACACTTACTAAATATATTTAAAGCATTCTCTGTAAATTATATTTTAGAATTAGTTTAGTTTTACTTTAAAAATGACTTAACAAGAAAGTAACTGGGATGATTTAAGTTTTGACTGTGTTAGATTTTGATGTTTAACACAAACTGTAGAAATATCTTGTAATCTTATTATTTTCCTCCTCTAGTACATCATTTTTATGTTTTAATATTGTCTAACTTTGTAGAAATAGCTCTGCAGTCTAACAGTGTTAAATGAGAAAGAGGAAACTTTCTTAAAAAATTCTCTTTATAACAGTAAATCTCTCTAAAACAATACTTTTATTTTACTAAATATTGCTAAAGAAGGATTTGATTGTATATAAATGAGAAAATGTAGATAAAAGGAATTTTTAAGAAATATTAGAAATTAAAATTCTAAATTGCCAATTAATTAATTAAGAGATATATTAATATTAATAACCAATTTGAAGCTAGATTTTTAAAAATGAAAATAAAGTATTTGAGAATGGAATAACTTTTTAAAATTCTTGTTAATATACAGAAACTATATTAATAGTAACTTCCATAAATTCAGTTACAGTAGAATTTTCAAAGAAAATAAAGAAAAAAATTAGTGCTTATACATTTAATGTACTATATGATTAATGCATATATCAGGACTAAAATAACAAGAATATAGTATTTATTTTATGAGGAAAATAATTATCTACTGATTGACCTGTATTTTAATAATTTTTCTATAATTTTGGTATTTTTAAGTTACTTTTAACCTTGGTTAGATATTTTGAAATATGTTTATTATTGTGGTATAGTTAAACTTTATCAGCAAAATTGTTTTTAAAAACATTGAATTGTTTTGCAATATATAAGTTGTTTTCAATAACTCATTTAATAATTATAATTAATTGGATAAGCTATACAAATATGGCACATTTAAAAAATTTCATTTTTAAATAAATTTTTTTTGTTTCTTAATTTATCACAATGTAAATTATATAGCTTTATTTATTTATTAAATTATAAATTTTATAATACATTTTAATAGTTATTAAGAACTGTCTTAGAGCCATATTGTTATGCTTTCTCTTTGTATTAAATTGTTAAAAATATTTTAAATGTCAGTCAGTTTTATGGAATAAAACTATGAAACTTTTTAAAAGTATTTTATTGTAAAATTTTCTTGAAACTTCTTCAATAATAATCTAATTATAAATGAGTAGTATTTATAGATTGTATATTTATATCCAGATTTGGTGAGTTAGCTTATATTAGAACATGTATAAAATTCTAATTTTATAGTAATACTATTTTAAGCAATCCTAGTGTTAAACTTAAAAGTTCATCACATAAAACAATTCTTATCTAGATTTTAAACATAATAACAATAAAATTCATTATTAAATTTGTTTGACATATTCAAAAATGATATCTATTAATGGTATGTAGTTTATATTGAATTGTTATTTATACAGATAATTTTAATAAATACCAATTTTAAGTTTGTTTTTAACTATATTATAATGGGTGTTTTATGTCTAAAACATTGATTTGCTTTATAAAAAGTTAAAGAATGATATTAAATAAGTATTACTTATGAATTAAAGTTTTAAAATTAAAAGTTCAAAATAAGAGAGATATTGATCTTTAATTGCTTTGTCATACAATATATATTATATAAGTTTGTTATGAAAGAAATGTACCAGTATAGTAGAGCATCGATTATCCGAATCAATTGGGGACTGGGGTTGTTCGGATAACTGATTATGTAAGAAAAAATATATTAACCTATCCCATGTTGAAATTTTTCTCCGTTGCGTGTCACTTTGCGTTGAATTTTTGTCGATGTTAAGCCTAACGAAGACTATTGTATTGTTAAAAATTATTTTTTTATTTTGTACAAACAAAATAAATATATTGAAAAATATAAAAACAAAAAATTATACTTCATAAGTTAATTTAGTATCAAAAACGTAAAGTATTTGAGTAGCCCAAGACAGCCAAAGATTGCAGCACCAAAGCACTGGCAAAAATGTAAATTTGCCAACTGGAATTATTTCGGATAATTGACTCTCAGATAATCGATGCTCTACTGTTTATCTTCTGGTAAATCATAATTTATAAACAAATTTGATTTCAAAATTTGTTTTAAATATTTAAGTTTTATTTTATGTAATTTGGAAAAATTCGTTATTTTAAAGTATATTCGACTCACCAAATAAACCATATTCAGTTCATAATCCAGTAGAAAAATTCTTTTTACGAACGGCTAGTAGAATAGAATGTTTGAAAGGTCTTTCAAAAACATTCTATTCTACTAGCCGTTAGTTTGATATCGTTAATACCTAAGGATGTCTATTACATATAGACGAAAACGTTCGTAAAAAGAATTTTTCTACTGGATTATGAACTGGATATGGTTTATTTGGTGAGTCGAATATAATTAAAATTAAATAACCAGTTTTTTGAAATACAGTATATTATTTTAAAGTGTGAATAGAAGCTTTTCTTTTATTAATAATAATTTCATTCTTTTTTAATATTTCTACATTATAAAGCAAACAGGTTTTTGAAAACCCAAATTTTGTATAAAGGATATCATCAGAAAACTGTCTGAATTTATCTTATAAATCTATATTCAGAATAATTTCCTTTTATCTATTTAATAAAATGATAAACTTTTATCAAATAAGATTTATTTTAGAAGTTAATATTTAACAATTATAGTACAGCTGTAGATTAAGATTATCATTAATTATTTAATATTTTTCTAGTAGGAATTACCAGAATTTGTCAAGTTTTTCATAGAGTTAACCTTAATTTTTCAAAATGCCTAAACCAGTAAGTAAAATTTCAAATATTTTTTTTTTGTAATATAGTTTTTAAATTAAATTTGTATTTTGAAAATTTGATATTTTTTTTATGATAGTTCACTTTGTTTAAATTTTTTTTTTCCTCAAAGGTGTATTATAATACAATAGATCAGCAGAATTTTTACTTCCTATGTTTTGTGTTTCATCAAGGTCTTTTAACTTCCACTGATTCTTCATTTAGGAAAAAAAGCTGTTTTATCATGTGTAACTGAATTGCAGTTATCTGAAATAAAAAGATTGCAGTGATCATTGATCAAGGATATTAGTATGAATGACTTAGCATTGTTTTTGAAGATGATTGAGATATTCATAATATATCAGTTTTCAATAATAGACTCTTAAATCATAAATTTACAAAAAGGAAAAAAAAATTATATAAATTAAATGCATGTGAAATAACTTGTGTAATTTAATTACCTAAACTATAGCATCAATCTTACTTCTACTTTGTACATTTTTAATTTATTAAAGGGTATAATAATTATATGAATATGAATTCACTTGATAGTAGTAGTTGAATAAACTAAATACTAGATAGCACCTGAACATTTGTTCTGTAGACTTAACATTGTATATTTTTTTTACTCCACTATGTCTGAACCACTGACTTTTTCTCAAATCTTTCTTTGGTGGCATCATCTCCAGGGTAAGAGCTTTAATTTGGTACCTGAATCATATTTTTAGCCCAGCCATTTACTCAAACTAAGTTGGACAAACTGAAATCTCCTTTCAATTAATATATATAGAAGTTTATTTTATGACAAATTTTAGATAGTCAAATAATTTAGAATTTTAAAAGTGAAGTTTTGGATTATTTTATAAGGAATATTTCATAAATTATGGTAGTATAAAAAATTTAGTTTAGAGTATTTAATTAATTAATATATTTTATCCAGCTCATATTTACATATGTTGGTCATATATACAGATCTAGTCAAAGTAACTAAACTACATAGTTTAGTTACTTTGACTAGAGATTATAGTTATGTTTTTATACAGTAATATACTTTATTTTGGATACAGATATTTTATTTTCATTTAATTAACAGAAATAGAAGAAAATTAATTTATAATAATAAATATGAAGAAGCAAATTTTGTTTTAATCATGCTGACTGTATATTCTGAAAATATTTTTTGACATATGTCAATTAATGCAGTATTAATCCTCTAACTTCAAAGATTAAATGAAAACTTGGTTATTTTTGTTATAACATTTTTTGTCCTTTTCTTTTGAATACCATTTATTATATTGTGTACTGTCTATGATATACCGGAGTATATCTTAGTATAACGATAATGAATTGCACTGAGGACTTCACAATAAGAAAATCACAATTTGGACCGACACTATTAATTTAATTTACAATATATTTCACATGCGATGACAAACTAATATACCATGGAGGGTAGAAGACAAAATTACACAATTATTTACAGGATGATCCATAAAGTTGCTGTATTTTATTGTACTTCTTTACAATTTTCAATCCCGTTGTTCCTATAAGCAGTCCTTCCTTTTCTTCTTTCTATTCTTGGAACTGTCTGTAACGTCCTTTCTTTATCGAATTTCAGTATCACTGCTCTAAATCTCAGAACAACAGAACAAAACAAAAGGTCTACTCCATGTGGACGTGCTCCTTTTTATAACTTCCCTTCATCCGGGTTCTTCCCTTACCCAAGCGGCAGTTCGTGCAGCCAATCACAGTCACGATATGTACCTTATACAGGGTACTATATTTTTAGTCGCGGCGCACTACAATTGTCTTCATTTAATTTACACAAATTTGTTTTTGTTAATTGATATTATTGTTATTAAATTTGAATAAGTAAAAAATAAGAAAAAATCTTTAAATATGTAATCAGATTTTGTCAAAAATATTTGCAATTATTTCACTCGTATACTAATAGGATAATGTTCTCTATATATTTTATTAGAAAACTTTAATTGACTTTATACAGTCATATTAGGAAAATATGTTAATTAATTAATAATTAAACATACTTTAAATGTGTATAAAATGAAGTATGATGATTCATTTAAATTTTCGCAAATAAAATAATTTTACATCAGCATTCTTCTTAATTTAGTTAAATGAATAGACTGGTTTGGAAATTCTTATGGCTTCTTTTATCATTAGCTGCAACTGTAAAAAGCAGATCAAGTTAAATTTAACTTTACTATTATTTCTTACTTAAAAATTTAAAAATAAGTCAAAATTAAAATCAACTGTAATATTGATATTCTTTGATTAAATGTAGTTAATTTTATTTTTATATTTTTATTATATTAAAATAAAAGCTATAGCTTGTTTTTGCTTCTTTGAAAAATGCATTAAGGAAACTTGATTTATCTGGTTTCACTATTCAGCCTCATCTATTGTTGTTTTGTATTCTGTTTTTTTATACTGTGTAGGCATAATAATGTGTTTTTCAGATCATCTAATATTAGCTTATTAAATTGAATGCAATAAAATTAATTTGTAAATGAAATAAGAAAGTTTAAATTGATGATTGTTTTTATCATTTTATTTTGCATTTTTTTAAAACAGTTTATAATGCAATATATTTTATTAATCCAAAATTTAAAAACTTTTTATCTTTGAACTCTTTAATTTTGATATGAAAAATTATCAGCTTATATTGTTTATGTATATGTAGTGACAATTACAAATTAACAATGGAGTCTTAGACAAAGATCCATCTTTTAGGCTGGATTGTATTTTTTTCATTTGAAAATACTACTACGTAAATACTATATAAATTAATGTTTTCAAACCTTTTGGTTCAATTACAGCTACATCAAATAACTTTAGTTAAATTTATTTTTTCTCTTGTATATAATTATATTTCAAATTGTTCTTTTGGTATTTAAAATTATCAAATGTACTGAATTATATAAAAGTATAAATTGTTAAATGTCAATTATTAATTACAGATTAAAACGAACTATTAACATTATTCAGTAAATGTGTAAAAATTCTGCTGAAATGTTCCTATCCAATTAATAAATTTTGGTTATTATAACTGTCTTTTGTACTTATTTAACAGTTTCTCTCCCCTAAATTTTTACACTTTATTTTTAATGACTTATCATGAAATTAATATATAAATAGAAATATTTGTTTGCTATTTGTATTTTTATTTCTTAATAGACTAAACATTTTTAAAAAGATTTATCTGTACTTATTCTATTTTGTTGTATTTATTGAATAAATTAAAATAATAAATTTGGAATATATTTATTTTATGCAATATTTGAATAAATGCTTGTTGATTTCTTATTAATGAATTCTGATTGTACTTTTGTGCTCAAGTTTGTATGTGTTGAGGTGATTCAGTTCTTTTTAAAGAATATTAAACTTTCTGAAAGATGGCAAAAATATTAAGATTAACATATAAATTGTTTTATTTCTTTAAAATTTAGTTGTTGTTTATATTTTTGCACTCATGAACCTATTTACTAATTGTAAACTAAAGTAGGAGGACCTAATTACAAAATTAAAAATAGGAATTATGAAAAAACTTTAAACTTTTTATTTTTATTATAATCTTTTATATACAACTCTCTGACAATTACTGTTCAAACATGTTCAAACTCTTTAAAGAAGATAGCAGAGTAATGTCGATAATCTAAGATTATAAGTTATAAAAAATGCCTATATTAAATTACATTTGAACTTAAAAATGTTTATTAAACTACTGATCTTTGTGCTCCAAGATTTTCTGATATCCATAGTATTGGCCTTTTGATTGTAAAATGAGTTCCTTATACACTTCATAAATCATTGCATTAGCATTAATAGCATTGTAAGCAAAGTCTTTTGATTACAATGATGACAAACAATCTTGAGAGAGAGTTTTGCTGACTTCATTTTTGTAGCAACTAGAAGTTTCTATTTTAACCTCTGATTATAAGCAGTTTATTTTACAGGATCACATGCATAAGATGGCAGTTTTTTCTGAAGTTTTACGCACATTATGCTGCATGTAATTCCTCAGATTTGCTAATTTTGAAAAATTCTGTAATGTTCTCTCTGCAGACATTTCCTTGACCAGACTCCCATAGGGACCCTTTCAAACTTTATGATAGCATGGGCTAATGTGAAATGAGTTCAACCAGAAGTAAATGACATAAGGACTAAGGTGTTACTCAGAAGAACCAGAAAATGATTTTCTATATTTTTCAAGAACAGAGTAAACCTGTGAAAACATTTAAATTGTTGGAGGTTATAGTGCTCCAGGCTATCTTATGGAGAGGAGCATTCAAGGTCTTAGTGACTTGCGGACTGTGCATGTCTTTGTTATGAATAGTTGACAAACATTCATGATGTTATGACTATTACTACTACTGGCAATCATGTAGACTTCCATGGTGTCATTTTTGATAATGTCGGGCAGAAAATAGCTGTCTTATGCATGTGACAATAAAGAAAAATTGTATGCAATTACATGCATAGGTATGGCAGTTTTCTATGGTTGGTTTTTGAGGGCTCTGATAAGCATAAAACGTTGTTTGACAAATTTTTACACATATGGCTAGCATGTAGCATGACAATATCATGGAAGTCAGTTTGGTAAAAAATACCTGCAAAAATACTAGTAGGTGCAGAAAATTGTCACTTTTACATGTGATCACAGGTTAAATGTATTTTCTTACTTGACAGTAATTTATATTTATATTTTAAAAGTTTTTGGTACATTTGGTTATTGGACAGAAACTATGTCTGAGAATTGCATCTATAGAAAACATTTTTAAACAAAACAGCAATAAAATCTACTACTATTACCAAAATTATATTTTTAACTTGGCTAAATATCTGCAGAAAAATGGGAAATATTTCCAATGTATTTTTGAGTTATACATTATTCATTGTAGATAAGAAAATAATTACTTTTATTTTGGACCCATTATTTTCAGGATATATGTAATTAAAAAGGACACAATCAAAACTGTTTTTTTTTTTATAAATTGAAAACACTTAAAACATTTATTTAGATGCACATACAAATTACCATTTCTCATTCATTCATTAAAATATGAATTGAATATCATTTTACCGGTACAGAAACAGAATTTATCTTTTGTTTAATTTGAAAATTTAAGACTATATAAACAATGAGTCTTCTTTCCTATCCTTTTTAATTCCAATCCAGGAACCACAAACAGCAGGCAACATGAAGTAAAACTTCTAAAACAGACAAATACTATTAAAAAAAATTCACAATTAAAAATGATCTTGATATGATGATCTTTTTTTTTTTCTTTTTTTATATAATCACATTTAAGCTGAGAGTCCTCTGTGTATGATTATCTTTTGTTTCTTTATGGCAGCATTAATTATATCTGTGTGATACCTTTGTACACGTCTTGTGTTTGGATTTGTAGGGCTGAGTTTTGTCATTATTTCTCTCAACTGTATTGGGAAATCTTTCTATTTATACACTTTCCTACAAACCTCATTTATTATATTTTATAATAAAAAATATTCATAGAAGCCTACAAACTCCTTTCAAAAAATCATAACTGTTTTTATTTTATCAAATGAATCTGTAATGTCATTACCTACAGCCGTGGTTCTCAATCTGTGGTCCGTGTAACATGAGTGCTCCATGAAGCCATTTCAAGTGTTCTGCAAACAAATCAAATATACAATTAAAAATTGTTGCAAAAGAAAAAACAATACAATGTAAAATAATTTTTGTATGGGAATGTAATCAGCAAATGACAATGTCGTCACCTACTAGACCGAGTGTGCTTGATTTCAAAAAGGTTTGCCACCTCTGCCTTAAAGTTGATGTATTGTAAGTGCTCCACGGAAAAAAATGTCAAAGTTTAGTGTTCCCCAACTTCAAAAAGACTGAGAACCACTGGCCTACAGACCAGTCTATCATCAAAAGCTCCATAACATATTTTACTTTATATCAGTTGCTTTATTTTGGATATAGCAAATGACCATATCTAAAATTCCATTAATAAAACAATTTAAATATTAAGTACATCTGATCTAAATAATTATGTGCAATTGGCTAAAACTGGCTAAGCATGCGGGACATTCCAATTTTCAACGCGAGTGTTGAGTGTTGAAGTCAACAGTTTGACGTCATCAGCGACGTTCCAACTCGAGTACGAAGTGCTTAGTTCCCATAATTCCATTCTCAGCAAGATGGAGGACAAATGTATTATTTCGTGTGCTATTACAGCATTTTGTAATATTTTTAATGAGAACGCGATGATTTCATATAAAAGGAAAATGAAACACGACGACGATGACGACGACGAACTGCTACATGTAAATGTAGCAGCTATGGAAGAAAACATAAAGAGAAAGAAGGCCAAAATAGTAGGATATGTAGAAGAGATAGTTCCTATGTATTCCATGGAAGATTTTAAATCTCACTTTCGTTTGAGTCGTTCAACAATTGAGGTATGTTAAAGTGCTTAAATTATAATTATCTGTTTAGTTTGTCAAATATTTTACTGTATTTTACCTAAAATATTTCGTTTATGTATATTTCGTAATGAAACGATATTTAAGCAATAAATCATTTTAAGAAATTTTATTTTTATTTCAGCATTTGATGCAGATGATTATTTCGGAGCCCACTAAAAGAAAGCCAGCAATGAAAAGAGAAGATTCCATATTGTTATCATTATGGTTGATTGGCAACCAAGAATCTTTTCGAGGTGTTGCTGACAGATTTGGCATTGGACAGGGCCATGCCCACAGAGAATTTGTTGGATTCTGTAAGGATATAATGCAAATAGCAGAGAGAGTTATCCAGTGGCCTACAGGAAGAGAAATTGAAAAAACTGTTAAAGAATTTAATGAACTGAGAGGGTGCAACAGTTTTCCTGGAGTTTTAGGCTGTATTGATGGAACTCATATTCCATTTACAGCCTCCAAAAATGAAAAGGTTGCACATTTCAACAGAAAAAATTTCACTTCTGTCATTCTACAGGCTGTATGTGATGCGAAATTAAAATTTATAGATGTCTTTGCTGGTTGGCCAGGCTCATCAAATGATGCCAGAGTTTTCCAAAGAAGTCCTCTCTATCTAAAAATAAAACATAATCCTGAGATGATTTCAGAAAACTATCATTTATTAGGTGATAGTGCATATCCATTATCCAAAAAATTATTAACTCCTTATCGTGATAATGGACACTTAAACAATATTAAAAAATATTACAATAAAATTCTTAGTTCAACTAGAATTGTTATTGAACAAGCATTTGGACAATTATTTGGCAGGTTTAGAAGGCTGAAACATCTACATATGTTTCGAAGGGATTTGATTCCAGAAGTGATAATAACTGGCTGTGTATTGCATAATTTGTGCATTTTATATAATGATATACCTCCAGATGCTTGTGCTATAAATGGTAATTTGCAAAACAGTTCTCAGAATTTTGGAGAAGAGTATCAAGATGGAATTAGCAAAAGAGAGGAAATTGCTAATAAATTATATGCCAATCATAATGGTTAAAAAGTATCTATTGATACTTTTATTTTTTTTTCTATTAATACATTAAAATCAAGTTTGTAATTATTATTATTGTCTGCTGTTATGTTGTGAATTTTTAATCATAATGATGCCATGTTCATCTGCATTTATAATGTGTAATTTAAACAAAATTTTATTAAATATTTGAACCAGTTTCAGGAAAAGTATTAATCATGTATTTAACATTTTGTTATTACTTTTAGTTATTTGTAATTGTGAATTACATAATTCTAATAAACTTTGTTCATTATTGAAAGTGCTTTCGTTTTTTGAATAGATGTATTTTGGTAAATCTTAAATACATTTATGAGTCATTGAAACAAAAAAAATTTTATTAAAATATTGAAATAATTTACATTTTCTTATTTTCTGCCAATTTCAACAAAACATCCGTTAATTGTTTCATGGCGTTTAATTTCTCATCTTCTATTTTTTTTAAGTCAGTCCATCGTTTTTCTTCAATTTCTGCTTTTTTTTTGTCTTCTATTTTTTTTTCTTCTAAATATTTTTTAAACCACAATGGTGGTTCATCACTAGTTTTCTTCCTCTTTTGCGGTCTCTCGGTTTCTGTTTCCCTTTGAGAATTGGATGTACTTGGAGCAGAAATTAAATTCTGCTCCAATTCTGCTCCAGAAATTAAATTATTTTCATGTGGTTGACAGTTGTTTTGAGAGGTATATGACAAAGAACTTCTAAGATAGTTATTGGGGGGATCCACATTTGATCTATTTCCATACACTTCATGAAATGTATGAAAATATTCCCATTTTACAGCACCCCCACCAGACTCTTTTGTTCTGTCTACATTTTTTCTATAGGTACACATTAAATTTCGCCACTTAGCATGGCATTCTGTTGGCTGAAAAGTGTACCCATTTTTTTTCAGTGTGTCAGAAATCCTTAGCCATAATTTGGATTTCTGAATTGGCTTGAGGAATTCTTCTTCCATCTCTATCCTTGTGTTTATAAGTAGAAGGGTTGCTTGGCGAGTCCATTCATTAGCTTAAAAATTACAAAAAAAAAAATCTTTATTTTGCATTCTTATATAGTTTGCTATAATTTATTATTTACACAAAATCTCTGATATCTGATATAATATACATAATACTACATACTGTTTTGGTATTGTCAAGAAAATTTTTTTGAACTATTACATTTAAAAATAATTAATCAAAAAATTAATTAATGAACACTTATTCTATCAAATGTATATTGTCTATATTTAATATAAAGCTGCTATTTATGTTTATTTGGTCATGTATATTTATATATGTTTATTTGTTCAATTTGAATTGCATTAATTAAAAGAAAATCTCAATATATAATAATTACAAAGTATCCTTATTGTATATTATTATTTAATATATACTTACCAATTTTTTCTGTTTCTGAAAGTTGTACATTTGTTTTTTCTGACCTTTCAGATGATGATTGTTCTATCATTGAATATATATGTAAAAAATAAAATAGAGAAATTTCATTAAAATTTATGAAAACAATAATTATCTATTTGGTTAAATACAACATTCAATTTGTTATTAATATAAAATATGTACGGTACCTGTAGATGAACTCTTCTCGTTCTCACATCGATGTTTATTTATAAATGCCAGTAAATAATTGTGATCTGACAAAAACAATGAAAAATAAATTTATTGCTTACTTGAAATGATATTTAATTTTTTTTAAATCTTACCTTCCATCATCATTTTTCCAGTTTTTTCATCTACCACAAAGTTATAACTTTTTCCATCGACAATAACGTGCATCTCCTGCATGGTCGCCATTTTTCGTTCAAATGTCGCTCCAATTACCCACAATTCATTGTAAAGTAGCAGTCAACATATCTGTTGAGTGCTGAGTGTGTTGAGTCAGCGCTGACAACAGCGCTACCTCAACGTTGAAAAAAGGAACGAATTTTAACGAGCGTTGAGATCAGCGCTGAGTCAGCGTTGAAAATTGGAATGTCCCGATGTTGTTGCCATCTAGTGTCTTTTCACCCAAATATCTGTAAGTTATTATTTTTGATTTAAAACCTAATAATGCACACATTTTGAAAGTTTAATAATCTTGCTATTATTTTCCATCTACTTCCAATGTTTCTTTGAAATATAATTATTTCCTGTTAAAATGTAGCACTTTACATTTTGTTATACATTGCTCTACTAACGGTGAATTTGGCTAGCTGCTCTTCTGAACAGCAGTAGATTAATGACGTCATTACTCCAAAAGAGGGTAAGCAACTAATCACAGTAGGTAAGTGATACAAACAAATGCTTTATTCTTATAAGTTGTACAAGTATCATAGAGCAGCCATCTGAATTTTCCATAAGAATTACTTTCATCATTATTTGAGAGAAATTTTTAACCTTTGTGAATACTTCTGTAGAATACAATAAAACAAATCTATGCAAGATGCATAAATTAGTGATGTAATGAATATTCGGTTCTTATTCGGTATTCGGCCTATTTTTCACTATTCGACCGAATACCTAAAAACAGGAGTAATAAATAACAAAAACACAGTAAATTAATCATTTTGGTATTTAGCTTTAATGTTGTTGGGTTAGTGTTGTTTGTTTATATTTATTTATAACATGCACAAAATACAAAAGAAAATAATATTAGTCACATGTATTCACAATTTATAATTACAAAGATCAGCACACGTACACGCCTATCGTTGGAGAATCCTTGCACATCTGAGGGTCTGACCCTGCTTATCCTTCTTTCTAAGCGCTCGTCTTTGCTCTTCCCTTTCTCTTTCCTCTATCGCTCTAATCGTTCTATACGTGCTCACAATACTTTCAATTTGTCACTTCTCCGTTGTAGAGTTTCCATTTTACAATTACGTGACAGCCTGGTGATAATGGAGAAAAGAGACAGATAGGACGTCGGTATAAGACACAGTTATGATTTCACTGATTTGAGACAGCTTGGTAGCCTGAATGGCCCCAGGCTTTCGCCTGTGCACGCTAAGTGACTTTCATTACAAGCATTTAGCTTTCTGGAGTCTATGACAACAATTGTTTGGCATTGATGGCCGCGAATTTTGCGCCAATAAGCTCCCTCCACTTGTTCGAATATGTTATCAACTCAATTTCATATTTATTTTCACATTTTCACTTTGCAGTCCTTCTCTGTTCTTTTTCCATTATTTACATATGTAGGTCATTTCATTGTTATCCACATTTGATATCATATATCACATACTTCCACGACACTCTTGTCTTTCCACTACAAGTGCCAAGAATTAATGCGATTGGCAAAGCATAGTGACAGCGGGCCAATAGAGAACAGGATCCTTGCCATAATGCGGTTTGTGCGCCAATTTTCGTACGTGCGTTAATCAAGCCGAATAGTTTGGCCGGCTATTCGGCCACACTCCTGGCCGAATATTCGTTATTTGGCTTGAGGCCGAATATACTATTCGTTGCAACACTAGCATAAATAAAACAAAATTTATTCTAAGAGCAGACTGAAAGAACAATATTAATTTGTTGACAGTATTTAATGTTATAGTCATCAAGTAACAAATGTACTGTACTGTGCATATAATTTTTGAACCTGTTTGATTTTTTTTCTTAACCCTAGCATTACCAGGTATTGTACATCAGTTAATATTTATAATAATAAATTTTTTTTTAATTAGGTGAATGTCAGAGTTACAACAATGGATGCAGAGTTGGAGTTTACCATCCAACCTAGCACCACTGGGAAACAACTCTTTGATCAGGTAGGAATATTTTTCAAAATGTAATATTTTAGAAATGTATTATTTAAAAAATCTAATAATAAAATGAAATTTATGCAATTTATTACTCATTATTTTTATGACTAGCTAATTACAAAAAAATTTATACAATTCATATGTAATATATAACAATAAATAATGATGCTACATTAGTAGAACAAATATTTTCTTGTGATATTCTACAATGTTTGTGTAAATAGCTTATTTTACAAATAAGCAAAGGTAATTTGAATTATTTTGACCAAAGTTTGTAATTTAGCTTCAATTAAAATGGTTATATCATCTGATTACATAAATCCATGAATAAAATTTCATTAATTACTAAACAAGCTTTTGACTAAGTGACTTAACTTAGTTTTATGGCTGATTTATAGTTCTTTGACAATGTGGTGTTTCAAGATTCCTAGCCATCACTGGAGATAGAATATTATCTAGTTTATAGTTACACCATGCAGAGATGGTCAGAGCTTATTATTGACATCAAATATCAGAGATGAACAATGGTGATGATGCTAGACCAAAAGTCAGGGAACAGCAAGTGTAGTAGAACTCTATGAACCCCACTGTCATAGCATTATGCTGCTGTTCGATTGTAAACAGACCCTTATTCCACTCATCTCTCTCTGCATTTTTTAAGTTATATGAGAATGTGGTTCTTGTATTATTGTTTACATTAAGTCTTAATTCAAACCCATTAGTGAATCAGTGGATAAAACTACTGAACACTGGTAGTTGATTATATGTTTGTGCCTGATCAATGGGCTGGCCATATGGAGTCTTCTGTGCTTTCTTTGTATTTTTAACACCTAAGTAAATTCCAGTTTGTAGCATACTGCATGATGAAAATTAAATCCAAAAAAGCAGTTACACAAAATTAGGGTTCAATCAACCCTGGACTTCATTCATAGTGGGTTTATTCCTTGTGACTTAACAAAAAAATCAAATACGACGTGTATGTAAGCAAAAAAATCCCCGACAATATTTATTAAGTTTAACTATAATATATAAACAAGATTTTGATCAAGGAGTTAATAGTAAATATTATTTCAAATATTCAAAACAAGAAGTCAAAATCAATTATGTACAAGAAAAAAAAAATCAATAAAAAAATTTTTTTTTCTAACTCGGGTCATACAACTAATTTAATCTCCACCAGTATCAACTAAATTCAAAAAACAATACAATAATTCAATGATCGCCTCAATATTTTGGCTATAATGTGGCTATAATCAAATAATTAATACAAATAAATTTGGTACTAGTGGTAAGCATTAGATGCCATCTCTTATCTAAATTAACAATTATAATTTTAATACTTTAATGAATAATTTAGAACCTTCTGGAAGAAGAAAACTTACTTGGGGCTGGGCTTGAACCCACAGCCTCTGCTTGCTGTGCAGTGTGCTACCAATTGCACCACCTTTCCCAAGCCAGCCTTCGCTTCCAGAAGTATTTACATTTTGATATAACCATATTGAAATTTATCATTTGATTATAGCCATATTATAGCCCGAATATTTAGGCGATTGTTGGATTATTATATTAACTCATCGGGCTTTGAGATGTGTATTAAACAATACAAGTTAATTGCTTAACTGTCACCAAAATACTGCCAAAAAATTTGGTCCAGAAATAGATTGCCTTCAATACTCGTACACTCAAGTTTGCTTTTAGGAGCTATACACCTTCATTGAACTGGTCTTTTATCTGGCTTACAAAGTGTAATGCTGCACTATCCTATTTATGTACTTCTGAGCATTACAGGATCAGTTAAGTATGCAAGTAAATGTTTGTTTTTAATTTTGAATTTAGTTTATTTTGGGAGCTTCTACTTTTAAAAACATAATAAAATGCACCTGAAAAGAAAATAGTAATAACTAAAAACAATGCCCAAAATGTAAAATAACAATTGAACTTCAACAACTTATATAATCAACTTCTTAATTTTAAAGCTGAAATTTACACCTTCCTCTCACTTTCCAGCATTCACTGATTAAAAAGGAATGTTTTGGGCTACATTCACTGGCTTGCATCAGGTTAAGGAAGTCCTATATCAAATGTCTATAACAGGTTTGAAGTTTAGAATAACACCATTTTTCCAAACTTTGAAAAGGACAAATAATCAAGCTGATAAATAAGATTACATAGAAATTATACATTAAGATAGTTTTACACAAACGATATCAAATAGATATAGTCTGCATTTCATAAATTCATTGATCCTATTTGAGGTTAGTGCTGCTGATAGAATTTTTGTGCTAGTATATATGACTTAGTTGGATGCTCAAAATACTTGACTGTAATTTTTTTAAAGCTGTCTTTGCAAATGACTAACCTTAAACTAAAGAATTAACTATAAAAAACACTTTGATTTAAATAAAGAAAATATAATTAAAATTGTATACAAAATTATGTGAAAGTCATCTTAATACCTGAATCTTTATTTATGCCTATGCCATTTCATTTTATTGTCTTTTGAAAATTGCAAATTCATTTGCTTTCTTGACACACTAATCTTTAAACTAACATACATTATTTTTGTTTAAAGCCAATGATTATCTTCTACAATTGTGTAATTGTTTTCACAACTGTGTATAAATTGCCTGATTAAAATCTTAGTAATAGAAAAATTTATCCACAGCTTTTTTGGCATAAAGACTAAAATACATCAAATCACCATACCACCTAATGTTTGCTGAGCAAAACTTTATATACAGAATGATTATAATTAAAGTTCCACTTTGAAATGGCCGTAAAATGAAAACTACTGGACAGAATGTTATCAAACTTGGTAATTAGAAATTTAGGTATATTCAATTGGCTACAATGGTAATTAATATAAATATACCCTTTTAAAAAGTTAAAAATATGAATATAAAATTTTAATAAAAAATATATATAATTACAAAAAATACTGTATTGTTGACAGTAAAAAAATATATATATTCACACAAAATAAAAATAAATTTGATGCTATTTTTTGACATTACTTTTTTTATGATACTGTTAATATCTGCTTTTGTGGTACTTTTTTTTATAATGCTTTTCACCCTGTTGGCACTAAGAGGACCTCTTACAGCAAGCCCATTATGAGTTCAGCCAGGCCCACAATGGGGCAGCCAGGTGGTGAAGAATGGGGCTCAATATATTGGATCAGGGTTTCTCAAACAGGATCCTGGTTGTTTTTTTAACCTGGGAAATCTTGCAAATTTCTTAAAAGTTTACTTTTTTTCTTATTTTGTGTTAATGTTGAGGAAATTTTGCAAATAGAAAGTGTAATTAACTCATAAACTGTCATTTGTATTTATTAATTTTAAACCTACTTATTAGTTTTTTAAATTTTTGCTTATGGCATGTCACAAATAGTCAATAATCAATATGTAGCTTATTTGTTGCAGGACTGAAAATTCTTTACTTGTCAGAACCTGTAATATCTGGAATAATTTGCTTATGCTGTCTTAATTTTTAACCAATCCCAGTAGCTTCAATAACTGCTTAATGCCAGTTTGTGCAAATTGGGCAAGGATACAAATGATCTTCCAGGCTACAGGTGAAAAAACACACAACATTGTCTTCTCTTAAATGCATTAAACATGATTCCACTCACATCAATGAATCGGAACAGGCATTCTTGGTAGCAGGACTTTCCCTTACTACAATAAAAATCAGATTGAGTGATCGGGGTATTGACCATGTTTGCTTTTTAAAATTCTATTACAAAATATTATTGTAAATTTTTATATTATGTTTTATTTAAACCTTTAAGTTAGAGTTTAATCTAACCTTTTAAGTTAGAAGTTTGATCTAAGTTTTTTTTTTGTATGCAGTTTCCAGCAAACTTTAATAAATTTTTTTTCTATTTGTGAAAATTTCTACATAATTCAAAGATAATTTTTAATATATATCTTACACAGCATTATTAATATGATTTTGGAGGTTGTAGAACATTTTAAATTACTTTAAAAAATGAAATCAAATGATATAATTAGTTTTCAAGATATTTTGTATATCTTAAAAATAATTAATTCTATCCTGGAAACAGTTTACTTCAATCCTGAAATCTCGGGACAAGCAAAAGACCAGAAAATGAGAAACCCTAATCTGGATGCACCACCCCACAAAAAGTTCCTGGGGAGTTTTTCAAGCTGTCTGGATTTGATCCCAGGTCCCCAGAGCAGTAGGCTACTACCTTGACTGCTCGGCCATCTGGCTGCAGATTTTGTGGTACTGGTCTTAATTCTAAGAATGTTTGTTAAATGGGAATCACTCAACCTATGTCTTTCAGCAGCTTTGTTCTTCATGCACAAAAAAAAATTGTTCACAACAGTATGTACTCTACCCCATGTGCATAAGTTTTCTAGATAAATTGACAATTTTATCAAATTCATTAAAAGAATGAACTTTATAAAATTCGAGAATGGAATGTTCTCTTCGATAAGTTTTCAAAGATTTCCTGCTTTGAAAATTAATGAGTTCTAGCTGGTATTCAGCTGCTGCTTCCACATAATTAATTGAAAATGGATCACTAAACAATTTTAATTCAGTTTTTATTTTCTGAAGTCAGAAAATCTCATTGTTAAAGCTTTAAACAAAACTTCACATAATTTACTATAATTTTTAAAGTTTACAGGAAATTCTATTCTTTTTAATAAACTTGGAAAACGCACAATTTCACACAGCAATTTTATCTGATAAATAATGCAAATAATAATATTACATGTTTCAATTAAGAAATATTCTTCTGGCTAAAAAATAATGAATTTTCTCTTTTCTTCTGTTATTTTTCTTTTCTTAGAATTAGATGCCATGATCAAATGCTGGATTATTAAAAATATAAATTTAAAGTTGATAAAATAATTATGAATATAATTGGAGGTTGAAAATATTTAAATTATTAAGTTATTAAGTTAGCAAAAGAAATATATAGATAGACCTATGTCTGTATTATATACCTATAATTATTAAAAATGCTGAAGTGGTAG